GCGCCCCCCCGTCGCCCCCTCCCAGCACTCCAAACACATCCCCGTACAAAGGCCTCCCGTACTCATCCACGGGCGGCTTCCCCCAACCTCCCGGGTGCATTCCGAAGCTCGCCCCTTCGGGCAAAGGAGCGTTCAAGCCCGGGATCCGCAGCGCAGGATAGGCGGGAGGGGGGCCGTACCGCTGCATGTTCATGAGCCAAGGAGGCGGGTAGAGGGGGGGGATGCCAAGTGCGTTGACCAGCTCCTCCGAGAGCACGCCTGGGGTGTGGTTCCGGGTGCGCGCCTCGAACTCCTTGCCTTCGTAGTAGAGCTCGCCGTGCGGCGTTAGGGGGGGCTTGGTCTGGTAGCGGAGAAAGGCGTCCTCAAGCACGGCGTAGTCGATGTCCATCCGCCCCATCTTCGGGTTCACACGTTCGCGCATTTTCTGGCGGGCCGTCTGCAGGCGCAGCTTCTCCTCCATCGCCTCCCGCTGCTTCTGGATCCCGGTAGCCTTGACGAAGTCGGGGAGCTCGAAGGGCGCCTTCTCGATGCCGCGCTTCCCCGTCAGGTACTTCCGCTTGTGGCACCAATGTCTGGGCACCGGCACCGAGTTGCGGTAGGCCTTCATCTGCACGAGGAGCTGCGGGTCCTGGGAGGTCACGTCGTGCGCCTCCACCACGTCGGGTCGGGCTACCAGCTGCTTGAGCTCCGCCACCGACAGTCGGTTCAGCTTCTTCCGTTGTTTTCTAGATAGACGCGACCCAGTTTTCTCCTCCTCCTCGTCCTCCTCCCCCCCCCGGCCCTCACCGCCTGAAACTTTCTCCCCCGCACCCTCTCCTCCCTCGTCAACCCCTTTTTCATCGTCCACGCTGGTGCCACAGAGCTCCTCCGCCGTGGAAAACTTCTTGAAGATCTCCCTGAATTCTTCCAGCGCCGGGTCATCACCCGCCAACTCGCTCTCCAGGTCGGCCGACACATATTGGATTTCGACGTCGGGCGCTGGCGCCGGGGGAGGAGCACCGGAGGCAGTGGGAACGCTGCCGTTGGTATGCCCCCCCCCGGACTCATGCGCCATTCTCTTGGCAGCCTTCTTCTTCTCTCTGAATGTCCGAGGAGGGGAGGAAAATATGCGTGTGAGAAGCGACGCGATCGTCCAGTGGGAGGGAAAGGGAATGACAGGCAGTTAGCATCACCTCCTTCTTTGATTTTTCGAGATCTTCCCCGCCGCCTTCCCGTTGATTTTGGCGGGACCATTTTCCAGCTTATGGTCATGCTCATTATCCGACATGCTGCCTGGGCCGCGAACACCTCAAAGACTTTTTCGTGCTTTGTTTCCTTCCTCGGCTCCCCGTGACGCGCCTGCTTTCCTGTTCAAGACAATCGCAACACTCCTCCCAAAAGGTACACTAGGCACGCCTATACTCTTCCAACTTAGATGAGAAGTTGCTTTGCCTTGTAAGTGAGAAGATGGGGAGGCGGGAATACGGGGAAAAGTCAGGGGTGCGATATCTCCATGGAAGAAGCAGGAGACGAGTGCTCGGGCTCAGGACCACGGGCTTGACAGAGGCGCCTAGCGGCTTCATGTGTCATCCACACTCGCAAATATGCCTTTCCAAGCTCTCTTTGACAATGGCAAGGTGGTATCCTCCCTCGACATCGACGACAAGGCCCCAAGGACGCAGGCGCGTGAAGCTGACGAAAGCCGCCTGTCGTGGTGATCGATCACCAGACTTCCCCTATCTCCCAGATCAGCGGTCCTCGACTCACGCAACCACTTTTCGTACAACTCTAGCTGACTGTGACCACCGACGACTCAAGTCATAAGATGAGGAGTTGGCAGGGTATCTCTTCTATCAACATGTACTCTCCTCTTTCTGGTGTGCGACATTGAGACCATCTTATCTTTCCCTATACTCCGTCTACCGCTACAACATGACTAGGTTCTCCCCATCCGGTGCCCTTTTCCTCATTGCCCCAGAAAACTAGACCGTTGACGCCGTGACAATGGCCAACAGTTCTCCTAATCCGACAGCAGCTTTGAGTAAGTTAATACAAGCGAGGTACATTTCTTCTCCGGCCCATGTAGGGTTTGCTCACTTGCTTTTCACTCGGGTATGGGGGGTTTCCCCTCACAACACGTATCTCCTATAAACGTAAATGTGAATCCTGCTCTACTTAGCAATTAATGTTGAGCCTTTCTTGTCAAAACGTTTCAGACGGTCTCCTTGTCTCCGTCGCGGACCCTCTGAAGCACAACGAAGGTGTGCAAGCCTGGATTGGCTATACCGTTGTCACTCAGGCTGACGACAGCCGTAGCGAGTTCCAAGCCCCCCGCACAAGTGTCCTCCGCCGCTACTCTGACTTCAACTGGTTGCATATGAAGTTGAGCCACTCCTTTCCTGGACGTATCCTCCCCCCTCTTCCTGAAAAGGCCATGGTCGGTCGCTTCGAAGCCCCCTTCGTGGAAGCGCGCCGCCGCGCCCTGGAGCGCTACTTGTTGCGCGTGGTGAAGCACCCTGAGTTGGGAAAAAGCAGTGACCTGGTCCTATTTTTGCAGGAAAATGAGGCCAAACTCGAGCACGCCAAGGCGGAATGGCGGCGTGAGCAGATGAGGCAACCCAAGGTGCTGCGCTTGGTCAAGCAAGCCTTCGCCCACATGGAGCACTCCCTCTCTAGTGCCTCCACCGGAAAGGTCGAGGTTCCCCGGAGCGATTCCGACGCCGTCCTGGACGACATTGCGACCTGCGTGCACGTCTTGGAGGTGCACTTCCACAGCGCCGCGCGCGAGGCCTCTACCTGGGTCCGGAGGGAGAAGGAGGCAGCCGACGGGTGCTTCCAGCTCGGCCTCGCGCTCACCCTGCTGGGCCAGAACGAGGCTGGAGGGTTGGGGGAAGTAATTAGGGGCACGGGGCATGCTTTGGACGCGGCGTCGGTGCTGGCAACCGGGGCTGTGGAAAGCTCTGGCTTGCTCTTGGAGGGGCCACTGGTGGAGTGGAGCCGGGGGCTGGGCTCCGCCAAACTCGCTTTGCTTCGACGCATGGAGGCTCGGAGAGCCTACCACGAGGCCTTGGTGGAGGTGGCGGTACGCGCGCAGGGCAAAGAGAAGTGGGTAGGTATGATTGGAAAGGAGGACAAGCTGCAGGCGGCCGAGGGGGCGTGGGGAAAGGCGGTGGCGGCGGCGGAGGCGAAGAATAAGGAGTTTGAGACCGTGTCGGGGAGGATTGTGCGGGATTGGGGGGCGTTTCGGGAGGAAAAGGCCGAGGAACTGCGAAAAGCGGCGGTGGCATTCCTGGAGGCGCAGGTGGGACGACACGAGAAGATGCGGACGGCCTGGGCGGGGGCCCTCTCGAAAGTTAAGGAGGTGGATCCCAAGCAGGGCCTGAATCAGGAGGCCACGACAGGGGGAGGGGAGAAGGGGGGGGCGAGATCGGAAG